CTCTCTCTCTCTCTCTCTCTCTCTCTCTCTCTCTCTCTCTCTCTCTCTCTCTCTCTCTCTCTCTCTCTCTCTCTCTCTCTCTCTCTCTCTCCGACCCTTCAGCCAATACTCTCCCTGGCCCTTCGACACAACCTCCTGCCCTTGTTCGACGTGCTTCCATACCTCCTTCTCGCCCTGCAGCTTCTTTTGCCTCACTTCATCCTACGGGACGAACAGTGAGGGGTCGCTGGCCGGTGTGGGTTCTTTACAAGTCACCCCCGACGAAGGTGTGCTCGAACTGGCGATATTCTTCCTACTTCCCTCTCCCCTTTCCAACTGTCTCCGACTTCCTTCTCCACCAATCCCATCCTTTCCCCTGGTCCCACCAGCCATGGCGCTCCAACAAACTCCTCCCTGCACCTGCAATTCTCGGCCGACACCTCCGATTACGAGAAGAAGAAGAAGAAAAAGAAGAAGAAGAAGAAGAAGAACAAGAAGAAGAAGAAGAAGAAGAAGAAGAAGAAGAAGAAGAAGAAGAAGAAGAAGGAGGAGGAGGAGGAGGAGGAGGAGGAGGAGGAAGGAGGAGGAGGAGGAAGAAGGAGGAAGACGAAGAAGGAAGAAGAAGAAGGACGAAGAAGGAGGAAGGAGGAGAAAGAAGAAGGATGAAGGAGGAGGAGGAAGAAGGGATGGATGGCGAGATGGGATGGAGGGATGGATGGCGAGATGTGATGGAAGAAGAAGGAGGAAGAAGGAGGAGGAAGAAGAAGGAGGAAGGAGATGGAGGAAGAAGGAGGAAGACGAAGAAGGAAGAAGAAGAAGGAAGAAGAAGAAGGAGGAAGGAGGAGGAAGAAGAAGGATGAAGGAGGAGGAGGAAGAAGGGATGGATGGCGAGGTGGGATGGAGGGATGGATGGCGAAATATGATGGAAGAAGAAGGAAGAAGGAGGAGGAGGAAGAAGGAGGAGGAGGAAGAAGAAGGAAGAAGAAGGAGGAGGAAGAAGAAAGATGAAGGAGGAGGAGGAAGAAGGGATGGATGGCGAGATGGGATGGAGGGATGGATGGCGAGATGGGATAAGGAAGAAGGAGGAAGGAGGAGGAAGAAGAAGGATGAAGGAGGAGGAGGAAGAAGGGATGGATGGCGAGATGGGATGGAGGGATGGATGGCGAAATGGGATGGAGGGATGGATGGAGAGATGTGATGGAAGAACAAGGAGGAAGAAGCAAGAGGAAGAAAAAGGAGGAAGAAGATGGAGGAAGAAGATGGAGGAAGAAGGAGGAGGAGGAAGAAGGAGGAAGAAGAAGAAGGAAGAAGAAGAAGGAGGAAGGAGGAGGAAAGAAGGAGGAAGAAAAAGGAGGAGGAGGAGGAGGAAGGGATGGATGGCGAGATGGGATGGTGGGATGGATGGCGAGATGTGACGGAAGAAGAAGGAGGAAGGAGGAGGAGGAAGAAGGGGCAGGAAAAAGGAGGAGGAAGAAGAAGGAGGAAGGAGGAGGAAGAAGAAGGAGGGAGGAGGAGGAGGAAGAAGGGGTGGATGGCGAGATGGGATGGTGGGATGGGTGGCAAGATGGGATGGAGGGATGGATGGCGAGATGTGATGGAAGAACAAGGAGGAAGAAGCAAGAGGAAGAAAAAGGAGGAAGAAGATGGAGGAAGAAGATGGAGGAAGGAGGAGGAGGAGGAAGAAGGAGGAAGAACAAGAAGGAAGAAGAAGAAGGAGGAAGGAGGAGGAAGGAGGAGGAAGAAAAAGGAGGAGGAGGAGGAAGAAGGGATGGATGGCGAGATGGGATGGTGGGATGGATGGCGGGATGGGATGGTGGGATGGATGGCGAATGTGATGGAAGAAGGAGGAGGAAGGAGGAGGAGGAAGAAGGGGCAGGAAAAAGGAGGAGGAAGAAGAAGGACGAAGGAGGAGGAAGAAGAAGGGGGGAGGAGGAGGAGGAAGAAGGGGTGGATGGCGAGATGGGATGGTGGGATGGGTGGCAAGATGGGATGGTGGGATGGATGGCGAGATGCGATGGAAGAGAAAGGAGGAAGGAGGAGGAGGAAGAAGGAGGAGGAAGAAGGAGGAGGAAGAAGGAGGAAGAAGGGATGGATGGCGAGATGGGATGGATGGATGGCAAGATGTGATGGAAGAAGGAAGAAGAAGGAGGCAGAAGGAGGCAGAAGAAGGAGGACGATGAAGGAGGAAGAAGAAGGAAGAAAAAGAAGGAAGAAGAAGAAGGAGGAAGGAGGAGGAAGAAGAAAGAGGAAGGAGGAGGAAGAAGATTGATTGACGAATGAAGGGAAGGGGGGAAGATTGATTGATTGACGAACGAAGGAGGAGGAAGAAGGAATAAGGAAGAAGAAGAAGAAGGAAGAAGGAAGAAGAAGAAGAAGGAAGAAGGAAGAAGAAGAAGAAGGGAGAAGAAGAAGGAAGGAGGAAGAAGAAGAAGAAGAAGAAGAAGAAGAAGAAGAAGAAGAAAGATTGTGGGGGAAGAAGAAGAAGAAGAAGAAGAAGAAGAAGAAAGATTGTGGGCGAAGAAGAAGAAGAAGAAAGATTGTGGGGGAAGAAGAAGAAGACAAGAGGAAGGCTCGACGTGCCTGACGACTTCCCTTCTGTTTTTCTTAAGAAGAAAGATTGTGGGGGAAGAAGAAGAAGACAAGGGGAAGGCTCGACGTGCCTGACGGCTTCCCTTCTGTTTTTCTTACCTTCCGAATCTCGCGCGACCTAACCAACGTCCACGAAACACAAGCAGAAGTAGAAGAAGAAGAAGAAGAAGAAGAAGAAGAAGAATGGCGGCAGCTCCTGCGAACGACGATGGGCCAAGGGGGCAGCTCTGCAAACGGTGACGGGCGATGACGACCGGCTCCAGCTGACGACGACGACGAGCGTCGGGCGAGGAAAACGAGCTCCTACAAACGGCGACGACGAATGACGGGCGAAGGGGGCAGCTCCAGCGAACAACCACGGGCGGCGCAACTTCGAAAGGTCGCGGGTCGAAGGGGGCAGCTCCAGCGAACACCCACGGACGGGCTGCGGGCAAGATCGTCGCCATTCAAATCTGGGCGAGAAACTTGCGACGGCTTTGTGGTCATTGATCAAGGCGGATCGACGGCCACAGACCCGCCGCAATTTTCACACCCACTCCCGTAGGCCTATCGGGCCCGATGCCGCGGGTTTTCGGGCCGGTCGGACCCGGTAGGCCTGCGAGAGCCCACTAGCGTTCGAAATGGGGTCGAAAAACCCCGAAATACCCTGTGGGCTAGGGGGGCCCGGGGACCGACCGGGTGCACTGCACGGCCAGGCCGCCCGGGACCCCCCCCGATCCCCCGCTGGTCCGCCGGGCGGCCTGGAACCCCACCCAGGTTTTCTTTTTTTTTTTTAAATAAGGGTGACAACCTTGAAAAATCAGCATTGAGCTGAACTGACTGGCCCTGGGTAATTCATAATGATTTTATTCCGGTGTCGAGCGCATCGGTTCGGCACCGCACAGGGCAGCGCGGGACCCTCACGGCCGCGTCACGCAGGAGTTCGTCTAAATCCTTGTCGCAAATATACATGGAGCTTCAGCAAGCCGCTCCGGTCGAGTGCGCCAGCCATACCTC